TACATAAATACATATATATGTGCCTAAAATTAGATTAAAACCAAAATTAAATCAATTTTTATTCTACTTTTTTTTTTGTCTTTTTTGAGTAGGCAGATCACCTCCAACTTTTCCATACTTACATATAAGTATACTCATAAACAAAAAATTGGTGTGCGGCATTTTGATAAATTTTGGTTGTATTTGGATTTTTTTATTTAATGTTTATTAACTTTTGATAAAATTCTAGCGTTTTATACAATAAACAACATAAGTAAAATTCCACACTTCAAAGCTTGTACAAAATCTAGAAAAATTTATAAAACTTTTTTAGCAGAATATTTAGAAAATTTTTTGGTATGCAGTTTTCTAAATCATTAGATTTTAGTGTATTAAGTGTATCTTCAGAGCGGCTGAGAATTCGCATTGATTTTTAATAATTTTTTTTGCTGACGGTTCTACGCATATAGAGTATGCGAAACCATTTTCCTTATATGGTCAGCAGAAAGATTTATTAAAAATCAGCTCGAATCCTCAGCTACTTAAAGATGCACTTAATATACTAGAATTTAATGGTTTAAAAAACTGCATACCAAAAACTTGTCTAAATATATTACTAAAACAGTTTTTATGAATTCGTAACTTTGAAATGTGGAATTTTACATATGCTCTTTGTTATATAATACGCTAGAATTTTGTAAAATGTTAATAAACATTAAATAAACAAAAGCCAAATACAAACAAAATTTATCAAAATGCCGCACACCCATTTTTTTTGGTTCATGAGTGTTTAAACATACATATGTATACTACTTAAAGTTACATTTTTTCCAAAACGCTTTTCATTAAACTAATAAATTCTTTTGTAGCACTACTTTGCTCTTTAATAGCATTAACGCATTCTGCTGTTAAAACTTTTCCGTCGTCTATGACCACTTTTAACAGCTCGTTTTGCTCTTTAGCTAATTGCACCACCTCACCCATATAATTTCGTTTCCTTTTAGAGGATGTGGAAGCTGCAGTCGAAGTGTCAAGTGGCGAAGAACTGGACAACTCCACCGGCGACGAAAGCGGTGACGAAGTTTGAGGCGATGGTGACGGTGAAGGTACAGCGGTTGGCGGCGATGGATGTGCTGCGGTTGATGACGGTGCAGCAGCAGCGTATGG